ATTTTAACAACAAAGATTGTAGAAAAATCATTATCGAATAACATGTAAGAAAAGAGTAATGTTTCGACTAACTTGTATGGATGACATTAATAACAACATCAACAAGTGCAACATTTCTTTATAATAGTTGTTTTTTTTAGAAATTGTTCATTATTGTTGTAAATATATTATTTATTTTAATGTGATAAACTGTACCAATCTTTGTGATATAATTGCACTTCCTTTTACAGTTTAATTCTTAAAACGATATTGATAACACTTCACATGAATTTGTTGCTTTATATTGTGAGATTGCATTGATGTCTATTTTTCTCTGTTGTATTTAAACAAAGATTGCTTTATTAACATGTACTTTTGTCTAGCAATTGTAACAACGAGAATAAGTTGTCTCAAAAAGATAATTGTTTATTTGTATTTGTTGTGAATGGAAACGTTTAATTGATTAAAATAAATTCTATCTCTGAAATAATGATCAACACTGGTAAATGAAAAAAAATAAACGAATTCCAACATATCGAAAGAATCGAAAGAAAATGAAAAGAGTGAATTAAGAAACGACTACGTGTTGATCATTCAGTTCTTTTGCATCGAACTGTTTCAATACAATTTTCCAATTTATTGCAACAGCTTTTTACATACGGAGAAAACTTTTGTTTGTAAGCAGCAAGATCAAGCTGACGAAGGTTGTTATTGAAATCATAACATTCATTATACATCAACAAGTAAGAATCATGAATTTGTTGCATCTGAGATACCACACCTGGTTCAACTGTTGGGTCTGTATCTACAACATCAACTACTTTTTCCATCAATTGATCCATTTCTTTCTCATATTGTTCTTCTTCTTTAACCACTTCATCAGCATGATGATCTTTATCATACTTCTTCCACAATTCTTTCACCACTTCCGTTCTTTCTCCTTTGATTACGTCCATATTTCCCAGTCCGAATTCCACACTTAAATACCCTTTGTCAATTGTCTTTTCCTCCCATCAGATATTGTCATCATGACTCGATAGTTGACAGTTTCTAAAAATATACAACACCGAAACGAAAGATTAAATTATTCTTCCAATTCCACATCAGCAGACCTCTCACCTCTCAAATCGATCATTTGGTAATCTCGTTTGATAAGAATCTCCGCTGATTCCAAAGAAGTAATCATTATTCTATTCTCGTGACTATTATTCGAACACCACCGAATCGACCTTGACTCAATTAAATGTAAG